CGAAGAAGTAGTGCTCTTCGAGTCGGCGGTAGAAAATGCCCAGTCATTTCTGCACGAATCATCCGCTAATCTTGAATTATATACCTCAATCCATGTCGTTTGGATGGTAATCAGTTGATTTTGTAAGATTTTCAGCTCTTTAGAGCATTTTAGCTACATTTTAGAACCATTTGAAACGAGACAACTTTTTGCCGCCGTCTGTCAGCCATTTTGTTTTCATTCTGAGACTGCAGTCCATCTGCAACGCAGGCGCTACCAAAAATCGCTGATTGGTTTATTTTGACATCTCCATGGAAACTGAGACTGTAACGCATGCGCTATCGATGCGCTACCAATTTGAAGCGTAATATTCACCACCATGACGAAAAGCCAGTTGCATTTTTAGACGTGGACTTCCACAGGAAGCCCACGTAATTAGGTAGTTCATGACATGAGCTTGTTGGACTAGAGAAATTCAAAGTGAATTGATTGATTATGATTTAAGCGTTACTTCAAAAAGTTTATTTATTTAGTCGAGCTTTCGGCTCACCGAGCCATTATAAAGACTTATGAAATTACAGTCTGCGCTCTTAGAGCGCATGTGGTTACCCCAAAACTCGACTTATATGAAAGATAAATTGGAATATCTGGGATTATTGCTGTACACCAACATTGTACGTCTTTTTATACATAAAGTGATGACTACAGTTTACATCAACATTGTAATGTGTTCAGACATGTCATTCCTTTGTCATGGGCAAGCAATCACGTGATAGTGTTACTTCGGACTGACTTACTTACAAAACGATAACATAGTGGTTAGCCGTCTTATGACGGAGTAACCACAAAAACGTTACAGTTTACAAAACCAAAATAATTAACTTTTAGTTTGAAGTAACGCTTAAACCATAATGAATAGACCGACCTACAACCATTGATTTGATCTGAATTGATTGAGCCGTTGCAATATCAAATTAAATTGCAAGATAGCACAGAATTATAATAAGGAGTTTATGACCTTTAATCTTATAACTTTATTTAAGCTTATTTTTGACTATAGGGAAAAATAAATAAAAAGTAGAAAAGGACGAGATACAGTTGGATGAATCTCGACAAATGACTCTTTGAATTGGAATTCAAGGGAGGTTTATTTTTTCAGGTTACTGAACCTTGTCATTTATTCTTTTTTTTAATCCTTTATTTGCGGCGAATGGAAGCCCGCTCTCAGAAAAATAATTTTAGTCAGTACAATCGTGAATTGCGACAATTTAGAGACCTTTAGCATCGGGTTGACGGCGGACGGTAACAATGCTCTTGTCGTCAAGTTTGCAGTTTGCGGTAGTGTAACAGTGGGGTTTCGCGAACAATTGGAGAAACATAAACAACACAAATTTAACAGTCTTCTCTTGTTCCTTGTACAAACTTCTTTCAAAAACTACTAAATTACAAAGACGACACACACGAGGAGCCTGACTCGGACCCAGGCCTAAATGCGTGAGCTCTTAAGAGCCTGTTACAACATGCCTATGAAATGTACAAAAATCAGACTGCCACACTGTCCCCCCCGTGGGGAAACGGCGTCCCGACGTAACAATAACACTATAGCATAATACAAAACAACTAGCAATGTCAAATCTTATAATCAATGAAAGTTCCAGTTCTTTGAAGCCATTTGGTTCTGCGAGTTGATGATTGAAACCACCGCTTCCGCTTTTCTTGCCCACACTGGGTCGTCCATCAGACGCTGAGGCTTCCTAAGTACTCGTCCTGATCTGGTTCTTTGCTCTGGTTCAGTTGCTAGGTCTTGAGGGTCTGACACAACAGGTGCTGGGGGCCCTGCTGCATGTTCCTCTGAAATTTCCTGGTTCAGCTCAGCATTGTGTTGGGGACATTCCTCCACTTCCGCATCTTGCTGATTCACTGCTTGAGGCTCTGAAGAAACAGTAATCAATATAGGATCATCTTCATCTTCATCAACAATGGTATCTGAAGTATCAGCATTGCATGATTTTGGTCTTTGGGGAACTTGAGGGAGCAACCGACGTCGTCTTGGACGAGCTTCCGGTGGAACTTGGGCCCGACCTCTTGGAGCCGGGGGTACAACCACTGGTTGGAACGCTCTATCAACTGTCAGCAGCAGGTTGCGGTGTATAGTGCGCAGCTTGCCTCCTAGCTCTGGTTGAATGACGTAGACAGGCAAGTCCCCATTGCGCTTCACGACTAGGTGGACAGTCTCCTCCCATCTGTCGCTTAATTTGTGCTTTCCTCGGACGCTCAGATTGCGAACGAGAACTCTATCTCCAGGTTTAAGTGCAATGTCACGAGCACGGACATCATACCTCTTCTTGTTCTGACTACTTGACTTATCTGCTCCCTNATTCCTCCTTGACAATGTTTCTTTGCTCGTGTAAACGAAGAACAAGTTTTCCTTGACAAGGAAAAATTGCCCGTGTGAATGGTCAACAATTTTTCCTTGCCACATTTTCCTTGTTGTCCATTTACACGAGCAAATTTCGTTCTTGACAACTTTAAAAGCAAACATGTTGGCTTTTGCTTGACAAGGAAAAATTGTCCATTTTTTTGTCAAGGAAAAATTGCTCGTGTAAACGGCGCTTAAGCACTCCAACCAGTGATCTGTATCAAAGACATCCTATTGATCTGCTGTAATCTCGACCTCGTTAAATAAAGTTCTACTATAGACATTTATAAAGTAAAATGTCATTTGTCATTTCGAGTTGGCAGACTATATCTCTTAAATTGAGGAAAATATGAATTTTTCCCTATCGCCGGGCATGGATTGCCGCTTACACAAAGTAACAATACAGTTGCATTTAAAAAGTCATATCTTCGCTAATTGAACTTCTACCTCTTTGAAACTAGGCATATTTATTATCAGCGATGTGACAAACTTGATACTGGACTGTTCACCAGATCGAGTGTAAAATTGAACAAAATATTCGTATATTGGCAACTATTGCTTACTATACGATCTTTTACGTTACCATGTACGGCAAGCTCAATGCTGTCAAAATTGCATGCGCTGCATTCAGAAAACCAAAAAAATGCTGGCAAAAAGTATACTTTTAATATGATGCACTAATAACATTTCATACTACTCAATCACCAGGTACATTGGAACGGACCACTTCGCTAAAGCAAATAATCTGGAGCAATTTTACAAAGGCTATCTSGGTTACGACTGCACCTACCAAAAAAACAGCGAYGGTCTAGTAACACAAAAATTCGTTCTTGATGAAGACAGCGATCCAGAATCCCCAACTTACGTGTGCARAATTCGTCCAGAAGGATGTCAGGATGATGATGACTGTCACTACCGGGTAGGCGTGTGGTGCTCATGCTACGGTGATTCTTGTATACACTACAAAGAAAAAGAACTCCCCTCTGGACAGACAAAGATATCAACCGAAGTATTCGAGAAAGACGTCGACTGGAACGACTCATCATGCCAACTTAATACTTGGTTAAACTCCTGCTGGTGTACAGGCAGGAGGAAAAGCTGGAAATCGACCTGGAGAGGAGAAGAACTCGATGATGGTATCAATGATGTCCACTCGATATTATTAGAAAAGAACCGCCGTGATCAAGCGAAGCGAAAGCTTCACAAACCTCACTGTGCTAAAGTAATCAAACAAGAGTAAAGACATTGTAATGGTGTAACACTTAAATGAATTAAATAAAATCGCACTTGAATTAAATTGAAATACATTCTAGAACAAGAGCCAAAATGGCTTCTCGCTCTGGCCATTTGAGTGCAAAAACCTAAACAATCATAAAAAAATACTTTGGATATAACTTAATGCAGGGGCAGCGGAGCCAATAKTGACTTGGGTTGGGACAATCATAGAGTACAGTTATCACGTCACATCAACTTTTGAAAATGCATATGCACTTGTTTTATGTACAAAA